AATTATTTACTGCTCCATCTATATCTCACAAAATAAAAACCCAAAAACCCAAAAAAACCAAACGCACAGCACCAACATCTGATTCTCTTAAATTGTTCATGAATGAAAACTCCACATCACTTTTATTAAACTATGATCAACTTATGATGCTGATTGAAAATATCCAAGGCAGTCAATCACCTATACAAATTGTCAAAGAATATACATCCATTTTTTTTGGTCTAATAAATCTGTTAACCATATCTTATCCATACATATCCGACAAAACTACGAAACACCGTTTTACCCGTCTTAAAAATAAATGGCAACACTACCTAGGTAACAATATTACAGAAAGTGAATTATCCTCTCTCGATGCATAATTTTCAACTCTATACTACAGTGGAATATTGATGGATTATTCCATCGCCTACCTATGTTACAAATCATTCAATCAGAATACTTCCCAGAAATAATATGCCTACAAGAAACTAACCCTACTTTTTCCAATATATACTCACCAAAACAATTCAACTGTTTTCGAAAAGATAGAACGAACACCAATAGCGCTAGTGGAGGAGTGGCAATCTTGGTAAAAATTCAATAGACCATGAAGCTTTTCCACTCATAACAGATCTCGAAGCCATTGCGGTAAAGATTTCAGAACCACATAGAAAATTCTACATCTGTAATATTTACTTGCCTCCTAACATACAAGTTAGTTACGAAGACCTCCGCAAACTTCTTGATTAGATGCCCACACCACGCCTAATTTTAGGTGACCTGAATAGCCATAATACAATTTGGGACTCACAGAATACAAATTTAAGGGGCCAAATATTAGAGAACATTATTAAAGATTTTCAGCTAAACTGTTTAAATGATGGCAGCCCTACTAGATTTAATATATCGACAGGTGAATCACCAGTTCTAGATCTCTTTTTATGTGATCCTAACTTAACCATAGGTTTAGACTGGGAAGTATTGCCTTTTACATATGGAAGTGATCACTTTCTCATAGTTATTACGAACCTCAACCATGTGCAGAAACATCAAGAATTTAGTCCAAAGTGGAAAACTAACAACGCAGATTGGGATTCATTTTCTCAATATATTGATAGTCACATATCTATTGCCCAAATACCCAATGATATTGACAAGACCATCAAATCACTGAATGACGTAATTTTAGAAGGTTCTATATTGTATATTCATAAAACAAAACAAATACAAAGACGTACACCAGTACCGTGGTGGTCTAAAGAATGCGAACAGGTCATAAAAAATAGTAAATCTGCTTTGAATAATTATAAGAAGCACAAGACACCGGAAAACAGAATTAATTTTAAAAAATTAAAGGCAAAAGCGCAACTATAACGTAAGCTAAAAGGAATTCATGGCAGAAGTTTGTATCGAAAATAAATAACACAACTAGCTCCAAGGAAGTCTGGCAAAAATTTGAAAAATTTGTGGTACTCCGCAAAGGACTTCTATTAAACACTTGAAAGTACAAAATACAATAGTAACCAAAGATGAAGATATTGCAAACGTTCTAGCGGATTTTTATGAAAGCCTCTTAAACGACACAAATCCACGTACAGATTCTCCAAATTCATCATCTGGTACCTATACTCTTCCTAATAATGAAAATCCTAACGTACCAATTAATAGTCGCATTACATTTCAAGAACTTAATTTAGCACTTTCAAGCCTTAAAGATTCTTGTCCTGGACCCGATGATATCCCAACCATATTTCTAAAACATCTTCCGGACTCAGCCAAATATCATTTACTTGATATATTTAATTTCATATGGACACAACAGCATTTTCCTTCAATATGGACTAGTTCCTACGTCCTACCTCTTTTAAAAGACAATAAATCAAGATATAGTGTGGAATCATACATGCCAATCTCAATTACTTGTTCCATGTGCAAACTTTTAGAACAAATCGTTAACAGGAGATTAATCTGGACATTGGAACAAAAACGATTGCTGATTACTGAACAAAATGGATTTAGGCAGAATCGATCAACGGCTGATAACATTCTGGAACTCGAAAGCGATATTATGGAATCGTTTGCAACTAATAGAAAGTGTACCGCGATATTTTTTGACTTAAAAAATGCCTTTAATACTACTAGGAAACACAGGATTCTAAAAACGTTGCATGAGTGGAATATCCGGGGACACTGTTTATCGTTCATCAACAATGTTTTAATCAATCGGACTTTTCGGGTAAGAGTTTCCAATTCGTACTCGAAAACTCACAGCTTAACAAATGGAGTATCACAAGGGTTAGTGTGTTTAGCCCAACACTTTTCCTAATAGCGATTATTGATATTTTGAAAAACATAGAAAAACCTTTAAAAGCACGGATTTATGCTGACGATTTAGTGGTATTTACAAAAGGAAAAAATATAGATAGGATGACAAAATGTTTACAAAGTTTTATCAATAAACTGGAAACATGGTCTCTGAATACTGGCTTTGAATTTTCTACTACAAAAACAAGAGCTATGGTTTTTGCAAAAACAGCAAATGTAAGTACTGCGTCAAATGTTACGTTATACGGGAAACCAATAACAGTAGATACTCATATTAAATTTTTAGGAATGCATTTAGACAACAAACTATCATGGCGAGAACATATAAAGCAATTACAATTAACCTGTCATTATCAGACAGGAAATGGGGTTCTGACCAAAATACAATACTATCAGTATACAAATCGTTAATCAGATCTAAACTCGATTATGGATGCATCGCTTATTGTTCTGCCAGAAAGTCTATTTTAAAATCTCTAGACACAATTCATAATAATGGTCTTAGAATCGCACTACGAACATTTAGAAGTATCCCTATTGAGAGCATATATGCTGAACTTGGTGAGCCATCCCTTTACCACAGGCGAATGCAACTAACATTAACACATTCATCCTCGGTATACTGTAATCGAGAAAAACCTATTTACAGTAACACCTTCACAGATAAATATAACGAACTTTGTAATCATAATGATAAACTAAGAAAACCATACTATGAAAGAATTAGAACATATTGCAAGAAATTAAACATAAACTGACATATTCGATCCAAACATCACCGATCCTCATATCCCTTGGTCAATCAATATTTCACAGTGCAATGTATATTTGATCAAATATAAGTCAGAAATACGTCACTCAGAAATAAAAACTATTTTGTCAGATATACTCCAAACTTATGAAAATTTCTCCAAAATATTTACAGATGCTTCAAAATTTAGCAATGGAGTTGGTGCCGCTTTTGTGATCAATTCAATTAAATATCTATTTTAACTATCTCCCCACTGTAGCCTATACACATCCGAATTATTCGCTCTTTATCGAGCAATTAAGTTTATTAATGATACCAATATCGCCCAAGCGGTGATTCTTTTTGATTCTCTGAGTTCGATTACTTCAATTCAACGAGTATATCCTAAACACCTAATTGAAAAAATGATCAAATCAGAACTTCACACATGTCAAGAAAAAAGAAGAACGGTTGACTTCATATGGATTCCTTCTCACGTAGGTATCCCTGGAAATGAAGAAGCAGACTTAAGTGCGTGTAGTGCAGTGTCTAGTGCGGAATCAGAAATAATATTAAAATGCGGTCCAGATGACTTAAAGATTTCTATTAAGGCAAAAATCTTAGAAGTCTGGCATAACGAATGGCAAATAACAACGTCTAAACTACGACAAATTAAAGATACAGTCAAAGGAACTAAATCTTTTTATAAAAATTGTCATGAACAGAGTGTAGATTACGATTAGGCCATACTAGACTCACACACTCTTATCTTTTTTCTAAATGTAACCCACCAATATGCGAGCACTGCAATTCAACCTTAACAGTAAAGCATATCTTTGAATGTGACAAATTTAAACATCAACAATCTGTTTATAATATAGCTTCAAATTTATCAGTTGTGCTAGGACAAAATAGTTATTCAAAGAACTTAATTGATTATTTAAAAGCTATCAATGTGTTCCATAAGGTTTGACTTTATTTATTTTTTTTGTTGTACAAAATTGCTGACTTTTTTTAGTACTATTTTGTAGGATTTCTTTTTGTAACCATGTAACATATCTATTATTATAAAATTGCATAGATCCGTCGCTAATAACCATTAGGTGGATGCGACTTTTTCTTTAAATAAAAAAAAATATCATTATTAATAATACCAAGGATACCAAAAATATCGAAAATACAATATATGTTTTAAAATATCATAAAGTCTTCTTTCATTAGAGTATCCCTCTTATATAAATAGATAACCAATTTTATTATATTTACCATACATTAGAAGATCTCCGACATTTTGATGACAGGAAAGTATTCTTTTGGATCTTCATCAGTTAGTTCTTTAAAAAGTTGACTAAATGTGCCAAGTTCATTCTTTTTACTGATCCATCTTTGTATTTAAACACATTTAGTTTTTTAAAATTCTTTTAAACATGTTCTCTTAGTTTCATTAATATGAAACACAAATTTAGACAGTGTGAAAGTCTTTCAATTCTTTTTTTAATTGTATATAGATACTTTAAGATTTGCTAAGAAACGCTTTAAACTAAATACTTGCCAAGTGTATATAATTGTTTTACTTGTCTGGAGTTAGGAAACTCAACACTAATTTATTCCACTTGGGTGAACAGTAGACTTACTTGACTTAATTACTTTATTCTCTAGCTTAGTCTAAATCAAGTTCTAGAATCGAATTGTTTGTTATTTAGTTGACGTCGTCAGCTGTACATCGGTCTCAATGCAGCCAATTGCTTTATTGTACATCTCCGATCAACAATTATACAAGTCCTCGAAAGACTACTCTATTGAGCTTTTATTTAACCCTGGTATATCTAAGGATCTTGTATTCAGGCCTAAATCTGCTGAAGGTTCGTTTTAAGTTCGGTTTCTATGAAATTTAATACGTTTAATATGAGTTAATTAATAATTAATTAACACGTATTATTAAACATACCTCTAATATTTTCAGTTACTACACGCTAATGATTTGGTTTCCGGAGCTTTTTTACCGTTTCGAAGAATTCGAAAACTTACATCCTAATGAAGCAGCCTCGGTATGTGAAGTATCTTCTGTGGTTGTAAAATCAGCAAACGCCACTCTTGACCAAAACGAATTTTGTGGAGAGCCGCTGGCTGATTCAGTATTTCTGCACACTTTAATTATTGGACTGGCTTGTATTCCTACAAGTTTCTGGCTGCCATTATGCGTACATAGACTGGGTGCAAAGTTTTTCTTAGGTGAGACAAATTATTACTTTACTACAAAATTACCTCACTAGGATAATAGTTACTAAACTGTATTTTTATGAATATATAATAAAAATTGTTATTCTCATATATTATATTTTGATAAATGAACGACTATGCAAATTAAAAAAATTATCTATAAAAAGAATTATCGGTTTTTCACATATTTGTGTAAGAACTAAAGTTTGACATCCTGTAACATGTTTTTAAATTTAAAATAAGCTTTATATTAACTTATAGACTACAATCCGATGGGACATTTTTAGAAGGTCAGTTAGCCCAACGTGAATCACATATAAATCAATAATTTAACTTTAGAGTTTGACATCCTGTAACATGTTTTTAAATTTAAAATGAGCTTCAGCTTCTAGACTACAATCCCATGGGACATTTTTAGGGGGTCATTTAACCCAACGTTAATCACATATAAATCAATATTAGAATTTGTAACAACAACTTAGAAACTATGCCGCCAATTCTTATCAGTACTCAAAGCATGGGGCTTCAAATTAAGGGGTTACGCCTTAGATTTCTCATCCCTGTTTCACCCTAAATATACGGCGTTGCAAAAAAAATATTCTATATACCGATCCGAAATTTTTTGTAGGAATGCCGTACTCTGCCAAATTGCAGACAATGAGGAAAAATTTTCCTGCTACTAGTACCAATATTTTTGTACGGCATTAAGTCGCAAGTGATTATTTTTTTATATCCTACCTAATTTATACACGCCGTACAAATATGTTTGGCCAAAAAGTCTCCCTCCTCACCTTGAATGGTAAGTTTATTTTTTATCTTACCTGTGACTGACCTGTACCGATAAGAATTATAGAGCCATTATAGACGGCATAGTTTCTATAGTTGTGATAAACTCGATCGTTTTTATAGTTGTTATTGCAGATTGTAGTATTGTTTTACATATTTATGCTGGGTCAAATACCCTATTTAAAATCTTCCATGGGATAGTAGACTATTATATGTATGTAGCAATGTTGAAAGTCCGCAATCCCCACTTGATATACCATCAAACCATCGAGACCAAACTTTCGGGTCGTTGCTTCGTTCCATCCGCCTTCTTTTATTATTAGACATGCTATTATCTAAAATAAATCATAGTAACTATAACCAAAAACTAATTAATAAAAGTTACCTTGAATTTTCAAAACAATAGAGTCAAATATCTGCAATGTAGCCAGATGTTGTAACGTCAATGGACACGTGGTCTACAATCATAGACCACTACTATTCTATGCTTGACAAAATACTTAACTGAAGTGCTGAACACAAATACAACCATAAATTAGAATACGATGCCCGTTAGCAACAGCACTGAGATGCACGCGCATGTAAAAGAAAATGACTGAGATATACAAGTGTTTGGAAAGAGGTGGCCTACAATTGTAGACCACGTGTCTAACAGAGGGTTAAAATAAAAATCAATAATGGGTAAAACACAAACTTCATTTACACTGAGGAAAAAATAATATCAAAACTTAAGTAATCATGAATGTTATGAATAACATAAAGACAAATCATATTTTCTTTTATAAGGCTGAAACAGCACACATTCTATAAATTATATTGTCATTGTTTTAACATTGCTTTATACCAGGACTGAAATGAGAACAAAAAATAAATCATAAATAAGCTGCAAACTGTAATTAATTAAAAAATCGTACGATTTTACTCACTTAGTCAATGAAACTGTAAAATTATTTCTTGGGCAAAAATAAGTAGTATCTAATATTAATATATCTTTTTATTAAAATTAAGATGAAATTACAAATAAACATTTCTTTAAGAAATTTGATCTTTTTTAAAAAACTTGTATTAACTGCGCTAAATTCCCTTTTCAATTTTTTATCGGAACAGTTATCCGTTATACATCCCGGTACGAAACAAGTTCTACTAGTGTAAGCTTTCTTGGCACTCATATCTTAATAATATTAACCACCAAACCAGTAATCTTATATTAACTACGGGTAATTATTTTCACTCCATTCACATAATACATTCACTCCAATGTAATACTATTACTACAGTAGTACCTTTCTCTACACCAGCGCCGCCCTAACGACAAACTAAACAGGTAAAATAGTGTACACAAATTTTAAGGTCGCCCAATCTGGGCGACTACGAACTGCCCCACGAACTACCTGGGGCCTTTAATCCGAAGTACCTACTGCCCCATCGCCGAGAAAGTTGGGGATTAAGTCTTAATGACCGGAAATTCCAAATTTGATCATAGTTGAAAGCTGGTTGAAAGTAAGAATATAAATATTTTCAGTTATTCACTTCAGTTGCAAGTATTACGGTATAGTTTTGTGTTTAACATTTAAATGGCGAATCCAACGACTATGTTTAGTCAAAGGGGAGAACTGTTATTAATAATTAATGAATATAAATATTCAAAAGCCCATGTCTCCAAAGATGGAAAAGTTAGATGGCGATGTATCAAAAAAGGTTGTCAACAAAAAGTGTACACAAAGGAAGGTAATGAAAATTGTTACTCTTGAAAAAGCATCGGAGCATAATCATGCTCCAGATATCCACGTAGACCGGCAAATTTTTAGTAATTCTACAAAGAGAAAAGCTGTAGAAGATATATGAAAAAAACCTTTTAAGATTGTCCACAAGGAATTGAGAAAGGAAAAAATTCAGCAATTTACCGCTGATTTACCGCAATTTAACGGAAGATTCAACATTTCCAACTTACATATGGGCTTCAAATTCATCATCTCTTATATTTACTACAAACGCATGTGAATCATTTCACTCGAAATTTAACGAATGTTTTTATAAATCACATCCTGACATATTTAAATAAATACACATTTTGTTAAATTTTCAAGCAGAAGTATATGTGAAAATTAGAACTGCACATAGATTCGAAAAAAACTTGATAAAACGGCAAAAAGAAAAGTTGATTTGATTGAAAATAGGCTAAATAAATATTACGTTAATCAAAACATTACTAAATTGGACTTCATTAAGTCAGTTTGCAATTATTATGCAGCTAACTTTTAAAATCTAAAATAAAGTGTTCACTCTTACTTATTTGAATCACTAGTCTGACATTAGAATTAAGCATTGTTATTGTTTAACTGTAGTTTTTGTTATTGTATATAAGTTAATGTAGATTTATAAATAAACTTTATTCGATTACTTCTATTTAACTCAAAAAACGCACAAGAAAAAAATGCTAAAGTTCTAGAATTCTAGAGCAATTTAAAAAAACAATAGACTACTTGTTTAAATAATTGTACCTATACCTTATATAATATTAATAACCCTACGTCGTGCATTAATAATGAGTTGAAATATATTTCTGTTTTCATAAAGCATACTTTATCTACGATTAACAAAACCTTAAAGAACAGGCCATTCATTCTATAAAATTGATTATAAAATTTTTGTTCTGGAAGGTTAGATTTATTTCAAATTCCAAATTCTATTAAAACATTATTTTCACGTTTCTTATATTTTTTAATATCTTACTTAATTTTTTTCAGTATTTAGTTTAATTGTTGCTGGAGGTGTGACAGTGGGTCTCTATTTCGTCACATCTGCTATGTCTAATTTGGTGCTGTCGTGTATATTTGAAGCATTAACAAGTTTAGGAATTAGTACTGTGTACTGCGTAATGGTTGACTTATTTCCAACGAATTTGAGGTACGTACAATAATAATATACGAACTAGATAGTGCCGCATATTGCCGCATATATACATTTATACATTCTGTTCTGGTAAAAATTTATATTACCCCCTCAGAAACTCTGAAACCAAGAGTTTCTTCAAAATTTAAGAAAATACGTAAATTTTTATTGGGAAGGGGAAGAATTTGGTCGCGTGGTATATCATTTAAAGTTAATTTTTTTCTCTACACGAAACTTTATTTTAAATATCAGTAATAATAGGAAAAACATAAAATTTCATCAATTAACTCATTAAATGTTCTTAGTAACCTCCAATACAATAATTCATTCAACCTGCAAATCAATATTGACACGTTACTGTGTTAAAGATATTTTTTTCTTTTTGTAAAAATATTAGTGTTATGATTTTTTTAAGAGATAATGAATCCTAATTATCTTCTTAAGTGTTTACTAGATTACCTTTGATTTGATATTTGTCAATGACTGATTAATCAGATATATTATTGTAAAGGCTTACAAAAATAGCAAAATTGAGATATTATAGTGAAGAAAGAATAGAAGTAGTTAAGCTATACTATTCAAATAAGTGTACTAAGTCTACGACAAGGATGTTTAATACGAACCACTCAGAAAAACGTAAGTCACCAATACGTTAAACATCTAACCGATAACTTTGATATTAAAAATGAAACTGGAACAAAACCATGAAGTGGAGATATCCAGGTGTGGCTAGTATACCTGTTGAATACAAAGCACGTGGTGTTAGTGTGTATCAAGGTATAAAAAAGTGCTTATATAAGAGAGAGTAAAAAACCAATATTAAAAAACACGTAAGTTGAAATTTAAAAATGTAAAAAGAATACGTTGGTTATTTACTACTTACATAAAAAGTTGTTAAAAAACATTGTTTGGCCACAGAAAAACACTAGAAGGACATCAGTAATAAAAAATCCTCGTGGAATTTACAAAGGTAAATGCAATAGACCATTAACTTCAGTATTAATAAAAACTACAAATGGGGGCATTTAACATGTCCCCCAGGAGCTGGTGAAATTTTGTTGACTAACATTACCTCTGAACTGTGTTGGAGTCTAGGGCTAACTCATAGAAAGATGGTATGAAAAATCAGTCAGTACTCGTCAATGTTAAGTGGAATAATGTGGTAGGAGCATAAGTCATTGTGCTTCCGTTTATGGATAGGCCGTTTTTAGTGAAGAATTATATTTAACGCGTATTAGGATCAATAGCAATTTTTGGTATGTTAATAAGGGGGGGAGAATGTCAACCAATGAGTGACTGTGATGTAAATTAAATTTGGTATATATACCAGGTTAAGACAAAATTTAAGTTAGGTAATTGAAAATTAAATAGTTATCAAAAGTGAAAAAGGGGGAGATGTTATTACCTAATAATTTCATTATATGAAGTAGAGATAAAAGTTAATTTGAAAATTATGGAACATGAATCAAGGAAAAAAAAGTAAGAGATATGAACGTGGATATGTAAACTGGGGATACTAAAAAAGACTGTGATAAGGAAAAGATAGATGTCGAGTGAGAATTTATAAGAAAACCTATGTGATTAGTTAGGGTGGAAATTATTTGAGAGGATGGGAAATTGGATATTAGAATAAGGATGTTAGTGTATTAATGATGACAAGAATAGTGTTAAGTATGACAGGATATATACACAGGATATGTAGACGTAAGTAAAACTGGATGTATAGATAAAAGAAAGAAAGTTGGATCAGGAGAATAATTCTCGATGTAGTGGGACAAAGTCTCTATTGAGGCTGGTGTGACGATTAACACAATACAGACAGAGCCGCAGCGTCAACATATGGCATCTCGAGTCCTGTTAGATGAACCAGTAACCTGATTGTGTGTGGTCTAATTGTTTACTATAAATTTTAGTTTTACGGATGTGAATGGAATACAAAAAGACAGTATTCGCATTATATTTAGTCAATCGAAAGTTTAACTTTTGTAAAAGAAATACGATTATACACCTCACGAATTTTTGGATTGACGAAATTTGACTATTGTCGATTAAATGTAAATATGATTTAATATTTTTACTAGATTTTACGTTCCAAGGTTAAATAGATGCTATCAAAGACTATTATACGAGAAATAATATTAGACTTAGAAATAAGGTGTTATTTGGTAAGAGGTTTAGGATGATGCTTATATGCATTCCTTTTTGAAATGAATTTCTTTTATATAGCAGGTAAGTGTTTGAAAATGACGAGGATCCTCAGGAGACTCTCCCATTAACTCTACTGACTCCGTCACCTAACGGTTCCTGAAAGTACTTTTTAAAAAGGCCTTTTTAACGACACAACTAACAAAGTAAAAGCAGCTTAATTACTTAAGTTACAACTGATTTTAAAACAGAAATTTACAATATTTATCTGAAATTAATCGATGACTAACTGTTTGCGATTTATGCAAGATGGGTTGAAAAGGTATCGAATGGTCCCACGATCACTGATATGAGAACTAATAATGGCGTAGATATCTTATAACCATAACCATATTGCGCAACCCATATATAACAAATTTTATAATTATCGTGTTAGCCACATCGAAAACCCTTCAAGTCTTCCCAACATCTGCGTCACATTGTATGACAATCCTGAGGATTAATTAGAGAACCGAGAATAGTATTGTCTTCAATTATAATCGTTTACTCTCTAAGTAATAATTGTACCCTCAAACACAAAATATGTTGTAATAAGCTAAAATGTATTATCTATGTTTTTCGCTTTCGTATAAGAATATTTTAATGAATCTTCTTCTAATACCGTTTTTTTACTGCTTAATGTTGTAAAAGTATTATATTTTAGGGTAATGGCAGCAGCATTATCACTTACTTTCGGTAGAGGGGGAGCACTGCTCGGTAATCTACTCTTTGGCTTTCTCATAGATCTAAACTGTGTTATACCTATTGCAGTTTTTGCCGCAATGCTCCTAGGTAAGTACTTATTTATTTAAAATAATAATAGTAATACTATCTTATCTTGATCTTGTTGTGCCCTTTAATGATCAGAAATCTAAACATTTTTTTAGTTGTATTGTTATTCCAAATAGTATCTATAGTGGTCTTCATGGATTGCGTTTTTCTAGTTAAAATCTTTAGATGACCCGTCATGTCGCCAGGTTTTAAATCCTGGGCCCCTCTTTATCTAATGGATAACTAGCCTCTCACATGTACGTGCATGCAGAAAGATTCAGCCTTATCTCTAAAGCTGCATTGGGAGTCGATCGCATTGCACTCGTGATATCGACACAAATCAAAAATATGTTACAATTATATTTTGATTTTTGCTGCGTTGTTTTGTTCCATTAAATTAGCTTAGCATAAGTAACTATGGGTATGATATCCGTTATATATGGCCAATATATCACTTTACGTTTCAGATTTCATGTTTTACTATAAAACTAACGGCACGTTCAAAGAGTATTTGTGACTTTTATGGTCATATTAGCGATGTGATGTATTTCACCGAAGTTCCTTACCTCTGCTGAGAATAATAATGTTCTACTTATGGTCAGAGGTAAAATTGTTAATTTCCGTTGAAAGGTTCTTCTAATAGAAAGTTCCAACCTTTCAGTCATATTGGCTACATCTGTCAAATCATTTATTCAGTTTGTTTTTCAAAATCACCATGGATGGACAATAATACGTGAAAATGATATCAGCTTATCGCGAAGTACCAGTCACGAAGAAGTGGTGGATAAATTTTAGTATACTAGTTCAATAAACAAGGAAACAATATCTGTATGTAAACCAAAAGTAAGGTCTGCAGAAAACATCGCTGCTATCCGTGAGAGAGAACTCAGACTTTGACAGTTAACAAGTTGGCGAATTTTGCTCGTCGTTAGATAGCGCTTTATTTTCATTAAAAAATATCTAAAAACGCCCGTTGTTTAAAAATAAGTCTATTTGTTAGTGTATACTACTACTCGTGTGCAAAAGCTGAAGAGATGAGAAATATCCCCATTTGTATATTTTAGCTGATTTCATGTAGTATAGTGCCATAATTATTTAACTTTATTTAAGTAAACTAGTATAATAATTTTTATTTTAATTCATCTTTCAGTTAGTGGACTTTTATGTCTGATGTTGCCCAGTACAGGAAAAGGATCGCTGGACTAACAAGCCGTAACATATTTCTATGTTTCTGTAATATTAATGCAGATTAGAGCAATAACAGATTCAGTGATATCAAATTTACGCACATTTTTCTATTCATCCAACAGTTTACTGTACCAACAAAAATTAAAAGCAAGATAAATACCGCTGCTCGCCATAATTATTTTAGTCCTAATAATATAATAGTGTAATAGGGTTAATGTCATACTGTGATTTTATAAATAATGTGCCTATAAACAGAATTTAAATTAATTACAAACTATTGTGTAGAGTTGTTAGTGTTAAGAATATAATTAAACACATCCTGTATTTTACGAAAAAAAGATATACAAAATTATTTATATAATATAATATATATAAATAATATATATATATATATATATATATATATATATATATATATATATATATATATATATATATATATATATATTTAAATTTAAAGGAAGGAAGTAATTGGGTAAACAGCTGAGAGAGGAAGTTATACTCTATACTTTATCCAATATATTTGGTCTATTTTCATAGACATCATAACAATAAATCAAAGCTACAATAATCAACTTATCAGCAAATTTTCTTTCTATATATATATATATATAATATATATATATATATATATATATAATATATATATATATATATATATATATATATGAAATATCAAGAAGTCGGGAGACTTCCCTGATAGCAAATTAGGTTAACCGCAAATTGAAAGCCTCTTGCTAGAAGCTTTTAACGACGCTAGAAGTATCCTTTTACTTCGCAATGCATCTACGATTCACCTTTGAAAATTACCATCTTTTTCGGTCTTTACGTAGAGAAAGACATTAAAATGAAAGTAAAAGATTGCATTTCATTTCAATCGGAACTCCACCATTACCCTACACGTGTTTCGGGTTACTCAACCCATCGTCAGGAGCACTTGTGGAAGTTCAGCTGAAATGAAATGCAGTCTAGTATTTGGTCATTATAACCAAAATAACAGCCAGGGTACGCTAGCAACGACATCTATACGAAATAACAAGAAGTCGAGAGACCTCTCTGATAGCAAATTAAGTGAACCGCAAATTCAAAGCCTCTTGCTAGAGGCTTTTAACGACGCTAGAAGTATCCTTATACCTCGACATGCATCTACGATTCACCTTTGAAAATTACCATCTTTTTCGCTCTTTATGTAGAGAAAGACGTTTAAATGAAAGTAAAGTGTGTGTGTGTGTGTATGTGTGTGTTATACATGTGTTTCAATATTTATTTGGCGGTACATCCATTTTTTTAAAGTTTAAACTTTCACCTTGTGTTAAAACAACTTTAATATTGCTTAAATAAAATATATAATAATAAAAAATATATAATATATAATAATATAATATAAAATCCTTTATAAAAAGTATATAATAAAATGCCCAAACGGACTATCACAATTATATTACAAAACGTTTTCGGATTGTTAAATCCATTATCAGTGTAAACCTGAAAGTAAATAACCACTTTAATTAAAAAGAACGTTGAATTTAAAATGCTGACTAAGGTTAAAGAAAATTGTGGTTAATACTTACGAGGTATACATGCTATGAGCCACCAAAATATATGGGTCAAAACCCTTTAAATGATATAAATTTATAGTTGTTTTACATTATATATGGTTACAAATTATGATGTTTAAGTTACCGTTGGAATTGGTAATATGGCGACGTATGACCCTACATAGGTAAAATGGTCCTGAGACGAAGTGTCTTCGAGGACCTGTTGATAACAACTGATCAAAATGACATTGTTGACATGTTAGAACGGATGTTGTGTCAGAGCAGTCAGTGTAACTTACGGTAGTTGTCTAAAAATGACAGATGTCAGCATTATTTAAAATTGAAAAAATTAAAATTATAATAATGTAACAGTATCAACCATCAATGTTGTAGTCTGTAATGTGAATTAATCATATAGCTATATTGGAAACATTGAAACAATTGGTTTTTTAAAAATTAATGTGGGTAAACTGGAGTTTATGAAATTTTGTAGGATCAATAGGCAACCAACTGTACATGTGTATGGATTTATTTGTTCTAAGCTAAAGATTTTGTCAAAAGGCCCAGTATGTTGTATAACATTTGGTACCTAGAAAATGGTAAAAAAGCCACATGTAGGAAGATGGGTCCTATAAGATTTATTAATGAGGAGTGTTGTAGTAAAATATGTGTTTAGATCTGTTGTTGAGCTGAAATTTAAATATGACAAGAATGTGATTGTGGTATGATTTACATGTAGTACTTAACTTAAAACTTGAGCATGAAGGGCCCTCTATGTCAAAAAAACAACATTTGGCACCTGGTAAAAATGTTCAAGAAAACTGATTGACATGGAAGATTCTAGTTCCATAGTGAACTTGATATTGGAGTGAATTTTATTAATTTTAGAAAGTAATAGTTCAGCTGAATTGGAGTTACCTGAAATGAAGACTAAACAGTCATCAACATAGCGAAACCAATGGAGTATTTCAGGATTTTTCATGGATTCTAGGATCTAGGATTCTTCTGGATCATAACATCATCAATAAACTCATCTATAGAAAACGTCGTAAGAACCTGCAGGAGGCTGCGTTCCCCGGGGATCCTACCACCAAACCCAATTATGATTCACTTCCTTATCATCATGAGAGTCTTTCTGGAGATATTAGAAATCTAATCAAACGTTCGGTTGAAAATATTCATGTTTCTTTTAAAGTACCTAATAACTTGGGTCAGTAGGTATATATCCAATTCCAAAAACACCATCAATTATATGAACCGTAGTGGTGTTTATAGATTAAAATGTTCTGATTGTGATGCCACCTACATAGGAAGAACATGTAGATAATTGTCTTCACGCTCTTTAGAGCACATAAAAAGAGAAAATACTTCCACTTTCTCTCAACATCTTAAAGAACACAACCACACTCTCAATATCCCAGAAGATGTCTCACTTATTCATAATATCCCACAAAAAACTTTCTCAAACTAGACCTATATGAAGACCTAGAAATCATTAAAGAAAAACAGAAAAGTCCAAATTGTATCAATTGCCATGTCTCATTCAATCGAGATTTTCTTCCGCTCCACCGTCAACTATTTTCATAACCCACTTTTCAACTTTACTTCTTCATTATTATTTAAATTTTTGTTCTTCTCTTATCACCCACTAATCGTCCTTAGCCCTCTCTAACTTTGTTCCATATATCCAACTCTCCTCTCCTCACTTCTGTCTAGGCACCCAATATTCTCCATGCTCCTTTTCAACAAAATAAATTCAGAGCAGACTATTCCACTCCCTCTCCAAAAACAATTTTTCATTAACATACACCTTCACCTACTCAACCACATATCTTTCACCTTTTCTTACTGCTTTTTTCTTTTCTATTACAACTCCTTTTACCCATCCACTTTCCCTCAGGGTTTGGTTTTCAGGTCTCTGGAGTCTTCAGCCTCTTGTAGTTTTTCCACCTTTCTCTTCACAACAACAATTAAACATCACACATCTTTAGTAAATTTGACAGATCCAACTTAAACATAACTACTCTTAAAGACATATTCTCACAATACACTCCAAAAGCCTATTAAACTCACATACCTACCTAAACTCAAATTTATAACTCATTCTTTTTTATTTTTATATTTCTCAGGTACCAAATGTTCCTTTTAACATATAGGGCCTTTTTGTTTTTCTTGAGTTTTAATTTGAGCAATGTATGAACAATACCATACCAAACCACGTTTCAGCCATCAATCTTCTGTTGTTCTGGCATACGTGTCCACACACAAAAACAATCTACCATCTTTATTTTTCACACATAACCAGTAATTCATGTTCATGTACTTATAACTTGAAAAATCTTTTATTTTTACCAGGTGCCAAATGTTGTTTTTTTGACATAGAGGGCCCTCCATGCTCAAGTTTTAAGTTAAGTACTACATGTACATCACACCATAATCACATTCTTGTCATATTTAAATTTCAGCTCAACAACAGATCTAAACACACCTTTTACTACAACACTCCTCATTAATAAATCTTATAGGACCATCTTCCGACATGTGGCTTTTTTACCATTTTCTAGGTACCAACTGTTACACAACATACTGGGCTTTTGACAAAATCTTTAGCTTAGAACAAATAAATCCATACACATGTATAGTTGGTTGCCTATTGATCCTACAAAATTTCATAAACTCCAGTTTACCCACATTAATTGTTAAAAAAAACAATTGTTTCAATGTTTCTAATATATTTATATGATTAATTCACATTACAGACTACAGCATTGATGGTTGATACTGTTACATTATTATAATTTTAATTTTTTCAATTTTAAATAATGCTGACATCTGTCATTTTTAGACAACTACCGTAAGTTACACTGACTGCTCTGACACAACATCCGTTCTAACATGTCAACAATGTCATTTTGATCAGTTGTTATCAACAGGTCCTCGAAGACACTTCGTCTCAGGACCATTTTACCTATGTAGGGTCATACGTCGCCATATTACCAATTCCAACGGTAACTTAAACATCATAATTTGTAACCATATATAATGTAAAACAACTATAAATTTATATCATTTAAAGGGTTTTGACCCATATATTTTGGTGGCTCATAGCATGTATACCTCGTAAGTATTAACCACAATTTTCTTTAACCTTAGTCAACATTTTAAATTCAACGTTCTTTTTAATTAAAGTGGTTATTTACTTTCAGGTTTACACTGATGATGGATTTAACAATCCGAAAACGTTTTGTAATATAATTGTGATAGCCCGTTTGGGCATTTTATTATATACCTTTTATAAAGGATTTGAAATAAATTTTTTTTATTATATGTTTTTTTGTAACTTTTTATTATGACGACCAGCTTTCATTATGGCATTATTCTTACATTGCAAGTATGATAATATTAAAAGACTGTGATTTCTTATACAACTAAATTGTAACATACCCTGATGATGTTAGTGAAATATTGGAATTAAAGAAT